TTTTTTCGAAAAGATTCATGGAGCTTTTAATCTAAAACCTTACTTTTGGTCTAATAAAATATTGGCACTTAAATTTTGTGATACAAAATTGAAAATTTAAAAAAAGTGGAGGTATGTAAGACATTTTTTTTTTTTTAAGATTTAAGATACAAAATCAAAAGTTTTTAAAAATATTATTAAATATTTTTTAAAATTTAGAAACCTATCAAATACGATTTTATAATTTACACCATTTTAATTTATTTAAATTCAACCAAGCTATCGTCAAATTTTACTCGTTCTGTATTTTAAATTTTGAGGTGATCAAAATTTTTAATACTCCAATAAATTTATATTATAACTTTAATTATTTTAATTTTTTTAGAGAGAATATATATAACATTACCAAGATTTCAACCTTCACCATAACTCGAACTAGAAGATTAGCAAGGGTTAATATATATTTATATAACTTTTTAAACACTAAGGGTTAATACTTTAAATTGTGCTCTAAGTCGACACCTCATTTTGGATCTACACCTGTCGTACCTTAAACTAAAAGGAACACCCCTTATATTTTTAATTTGACTCAAATTAAATTTTCTCTCTTCCTTTCTATCTTTTTTATAACAAGGTTTTTCTTTTGGACAAAATTTCATAGGGTTGTATTTATCTTTAAAGCGAAGCGGTGATGGTTTTATTGTTATATCTAGCTTTTATTTTATTTATTATTATTTTTCTTTTTGCAAAAGGTCATATATAGTGTTGTATTCAACTATTTTGACAAATCTATATAATATATGCCAAAAAGAATGTACTAAAAAAGAATAATATGTGACAGAAACTTGTCAAAAAACAAAATAATAATAAGAATAAAAATAAAAATGAATAATATGACGTTGTCAAATTTAGTTTTCCTACTTTCGGTGCCCCTAGATCCAATATTCAGAAACTCAAGCTCGCCGACGTTGAAAAAATGTCTCTTTTATTTCATGTGCATTGTTGAAATATGTATGTGATTTATTCATATATCTATCTACATATGATTAGACATCTCAGATAGTTTATAGGATTAAATTTTCAATTTTTTACATTTATGCAATACAAATCATATTAATCAACATGGGAGATGGGAGATCGAACTCCCAACCTTTTGGTTGGAGATGTATGTCAATAATTATTGAGCTATACTCGCTTTGGTCTTGTAATTAGTTTATTATTATTAATTATTTTATTTTGAGTTCAATAACACTTATTTTACTATTATAGATATTAATAATATTGTTAAATTAAAGATATTTACAATAGTATAAAAGGACTAACATTAGAAGTATATCTCTCATCCAAATGGTTGAATCGAAAATCTTCGATATATAGTTTTAAAGAATTCCTCTCAGTCACATAGCAAAAAGAAAGATGGTACAAATATCATAAATTATTCACTAAAAAAGTGATTGTATCAATAATTTATATCTTAAATATTTTATTATAAGAGAACATCTTTCCTATAGTTTGTCATGTACATCGATTTCTGGGTTGAAGAATATTGGATAGGCTTGTGTTTACAACAAATCCTTTTAACTCAGTGAATCATTAAATTGAAAATGTCATTTAAATTAAAATTTGGAGATATGAGTGGTGCAGTTAATTCCTCTTATAAATTAAATTATAAAAGTGTCCACGAACCAAATAATAAATCATACAAAATTAATTCAACTAACAAAATATCTAAATTCGATCGTGAATATTTTTTTTTTAAAATAGATGTACCATTCATTAGAGTAGGTGTGAAACATACAAAAAAAAAAGAGAGGAGGCTTTATAAAAAAGCACTCCAATTGAGAGAAACGATAACAATATCATAATTACAAAAGTGGGGGGATTTTGAAGACCAAAGAGATGTGCAAATCTTTATATCCTTCAAAAGATTGAGGAGCGATTTTGATGAATCAACAAAGATTTTATTGTTACGCTCTAGCCAAATGTTCCATAAAATAGCGCAAATAGCATTGCTCCATAATACATGGTGCTACTGTGTTAGAGGGGAAAAGAGGCTCTCACATACGAAGTGGTCAATGAGATTAGGAAGTACAAAGACTATCTTGAAAATGTTGAAGAGACGGTTCCATGTAGCTGCGTGTGAATGGGCAATGAAGAAATATATAATCTAGAATCTCGTTTGATGAGAGGCAAAGAGGGCACCGGTCTCGACTGATATAGAAAGTAGGCAGCCATTATTGTAGCTTATCGTGTATATTTAAGGCTCGATGAAGAATGCACCAAATGAAAAAATTCAATCGGGAAAATATTCAAATAGAGAGAGACCCAAATCCAACGAAGAACCAATTTTTGCCAAAAAAAAAAAAAAGTTTCTTCTCATAATTTAGAGTTAAAATGAACTCACCGACTACACTTAAGTATATTGGATTACCACATAAATTAATATTTTAAGCTACATGTATTGTCAAGTCTGTTATTTCCAAATATGCAATCTAAAATTTAAAATTTCTGTTAAATATACTATAAAAAAACAAACAAATCATTTCGAAAATTTAGGAGAAAACATTTGTAAAGAGACGATATCTCATCCATCTCACTTAACTGGAGCGCAAGCTTACCATCTCTTTCTCACAAATTTGAATGAATGTTTTTGGTATCTTTTTGAAATTTTTTTTAAAATAATGCAATATGATTTTCTATCAAAAAAAACTTAACATAGAATGTGAATCAATTCTAGTATTTATCAATTCAAGCATAATTTAACAATTAAAATATTTCTACTACTTTAAGATTTGAAAACAGCGAAAGTAAGGAGAAGAAGCAGCTTTGAAAGTGTCAAAATTACGACAAAAGCTAGCGTCAGAACTCCGGCTAGCCGGCCGGCCGGCAATCCCAATGCCCTTCCATTCTTGTCTCTCAGCTTTCCTAAACAAATAAACCAAAAAATACAAAACAAAAACTAAATCGGCCTCACTGATCAAATCACCCATATAAACCCAATTCCCCCGTCTCCCCAAACCACCACCACTCACTAAACCAATTACGAGCCCAAAGGATGTCTAAATCATGCAAAGGTAAAACCACGTTTCAAACTTTTAGCCAATGTTTTTGGTGAGGATTTATCCGGTACTTATCACCATTAAATGTTTTATAATTAGTAGAGATTTTTTTCTTTTTCAAAATAATGAATCATAAATTTGCCAGCAGCGGTTGAGATCAATATAATTTTCACCAGAAAAGACCTAAATATTTTTCATATTTCTTTTTTTAATTGTGGTACAAATCTAGAATCTGTTATTTTTGGTGTGGGCGCAGGAAAGAGTGCGTGGCCGGAGCTTGTTTGGTCTCCGGCGAAAGCTGCGGCGGCAGCCATCCAGAAAGAAAATCCTTTGGTTAAAAAAGCCATAATTGTGGAAGAAGGTTCTGCGGTGACAACCGACTTCAGGTGCGATCGGGTTTTCATTTTTAAGGAGAAGAATGGTGAGCTTGTTACCAGGACCCCTCACATCGGCTGATCATCAATAATTTTATCACATTATATATATATATATATATAGATATGTGATACAGTCCTATGTTTTAAACTCCTGTTTTTTATTTTATTGCTTGCCATATGACATTTGGAGAAATCTATTTATCTTTGTGGTGTCATGTCTCGTTTGCTTTTCATCTTGAATAAAAAGAGAGTTTCCGTTCACTGTATCCATTTGTTATCAAATGGAATAGTGCATTTGTCTGTCTGTGTAAGTTTCTATAATGTTATTATTTGGATTATAAAATAATTTAATTTTAGCTATGTTAAGTTATTTTGTATCTATTATCTTTGGTTGCTTTGGGATGCAATTATGAAGGTCTCACATTTGGCTAGATTTGAGAAAATTTAATTAGGGTTCAGACACCATTTCTTTTTCTATAATTTCAATTTGATTTTAAGACTTAATAAATACGCAACCTTAAAAGTTGATTTGTAATTTAACCATTTTTAAAGATTTCCTTATTCATTATTTTTCTTCTTCCTGTTATTGAATATTGTTTATTTAAAACCAAAAAAATAATATATTAAATATATATATATTTTTTCATTAAATATAAATATAAAATGAAAATTTATATACATAAAACCGTATATTAAAATATAAAGCGCGTATGATATAGAAAAAGAAGCATCAAGAATATTGGGCCATACGGATTTGAAATTCTTTGCAAGTTATTGGATAAATAAAATTGAATTCAACTATTTTGACGAAAAAAATATTAAAAAACGACTTTTTATGCCTTGACTTATTCTTGCTTTACATATGAAAAGTTTGTATACTTTGCATAAAAGAAACTCTACTTTCTATTTCCTTTTTTTTTTTTTTTTCTCATTTGGTACAGCAGTGTACAAAATATGTACTTTCTTTTTTCTTTCACTCACCCTTGTATTCATATTGTGATAAATCACGAAACCACGGGTATATATGATAGGAAAAAATATCATTCAACTTCTGTGAGTGTCCGGGCCATATTAATTGTCTCTATTCAACATTAATTGTCTTGATCCCATTTTGAATGCGTCCCCAAATTCTATGTCAATTAAAAGTTAAAGAGTCATAAATTTATAAACAAGTTTTTATTAACTCAATAAACACACTTTCATTGATAACCTCTTTTAAACGTAATAACCATCTCGATTGAATTGTACCAAACAAAACAAGTTTATAAACAAGGTTTATATCTTTGCTGATGTAACAATGATTAAACCTTAAACCGTAACTAAAAATGAATAATATGGTATATATCATTTCAAACTATACGAAATTTTGAAGCGGTTATTAATCGAAGAAAAGAGAGTTAGCCATGTGAAAGCATCAAAGCACCTCACATTATTGTGATTGGTTAGCTTAGCTAGCTCTATCTAAATCTGTTACGTGCAATGCGCAATTAAGAAATAAGAAGAAAGTCAAATAAAATGAGCCCCAAAATTCAAACCCCCACTCCTATATAAACCCACTTCCCCAGTACAAAAATGATCACAAGAGCTTCCCTTCCCCTCCCCCAAGCAGAGAATTATCACAGCCAAAGCCAAAGCCAAGGATGTCTACATGCAAAGGTATTTTAGATTCATAGTTTTTGCTTACTTATCTTATCCTCACTACAAAATATTGAAATTTGGGTTTAGGAAAGAGTTCGTGGCCAGAGTTGGTGGGCAAATTGGGAAAGCACGCAGAGAAAACCATCGAGAGGGAGAATCGTTTGGTTGATGCAGTGATTGTTGGCGAAGGCTCAAGTGTGATTCTTGACTTCAGGTGCGACAGGGTGTGGGTTTGGGTGAACGAGAAAACTGGTAGAGTTACTAGGACTCCTATTATTGGTTAATGATTACCCCTCAGCCTCAAACAAACAATCATGTAACAAATTTTTACAAACGCCCTCATGTTGTTCTACACTACGGCATGAATTTATGAATAAGACGTTTGTATTCGTTTTTAATTTAAGATGTAATTTGCTCTAATATTGTGTTTCGTTGTAATAAAAATATTTACTACACCTGTGTCTATGTAATTTCATTTGTTAATATATTATATATTCTCAATTTCCATAAAAATCTATAGCTTTAACAGATAAAAAAAATCGTAAGTTCGAATCTCTATCGTTACATATTTTATCTAAGGTAAGAATTCCATAAAATCTATTTATTTAGAACAATTGTTATAGGGTGGGGGGAGATGACTTGATTATGCGCTAGAAATGCTTGTCATCAAGATCGGATGGAATTTTAAATTTTCATTTGATATGAAATGAAGGAAAAAAATAATAATTAACTTTTTAGGGCTACGAGCATCTGTTGCAGGAGTCATTGTGTAAATCATACCTCATTTGATTTCGAGAAATAAAAAAATAAAAATAAAAAGAAGAAAACCTTAATTATTATCCATCTCTACGATCCTTATATTATGTCAGCTAAAAATATTACATAAAAGCTATATATATATTTGTACGAAATAGTTGTTAGTATATACCTCTACAATGAAAGATCAGAAAGATTTGTCAATTTGAATATAATTTAGTAGACAAAATATTGATAACCTTTTTTTGTTGACGGTTTGATCTTCTACTCACCATTGGTAACGTTGCAAAAATAATCTCTATTTCCGGATGATGTGGTTAATATTTTCTCATTTTATCCATTTATATTATCAAATACAATAGTTACTTGCTCTTTCCAATATAATGGATGATGGTTTCTCTTTCAAGAAAATCCTTTGGTTAAAAAGGCCATAGTTGTGGAAGAAGGTTCGGCAACGTCAACGCCTGTTTTACTTTAGGTGGAACAGTTGAGTCATGGAAATCTTCAAAACATAGGTGTATAGCACGATCTACTATGGAATCAGAGTTTATACTCTTGATAAAGCTGGAGAAGACAATGGTACCTCAAGTAGTATCTCCACAATGGTATGATATTGTCCACTTTGGACATAGCTCTCACCGCTTTACTTTTGGTTTTACCCAAAAGGTCTCATATCAATGGAGATAATTGTCCTCTGTTATATATCTTCTTCCCTAGCCAATGTGGAGCTTTGTTTGCAATCTCCTTCCAAACCCAACAATTTCCGATTGAATTCTAAAAAAAAAAAATAAGTTTATTAATAAGGTATATATCTTTGCTGATGTAAAAATTATTCAATCTTAAACCGTACCTGAAAATGAATAATATCGTATATCATCTCAAACTATAAAAAATTTTCAAGCGGTTTAACTTATTGAAGAAACGAGAGTTAGGCATGTGAAAGCACCAAAAAGCACCTCACACTGTGATTGGTTATCCAGCTCTATCTAATCTCGTACGTGCAATACAATATAGAAAGAAGAAGAAAGTCAAATAAAAGCACAGAAGCCCAAAAATTCAAACCCCCACTCCTATATAAACCCACTTCTCCCCAATACAAAACTGATCACAAGAGCTTCCCTTCCACGAGCAGAGAAAAAAAAAACCAATTATCACAGCCACAGCCACAGCCAAGGATGTCTAGATGCAAAGGTACACTAGTATTTTAGTATTTTGTTCTTCGTTGATGAGGACCAAATCTTATCTTCACAACGGAATTGATGAATGTTGAAATTTGATTTTTGATTGAGATGGTTTAGGAAAGAGTTCGTGGCCGGAGCTGGTGGGCAAACTGGGAAAGGACGCAGAGAAAACCATCGAGAGGGAGAATGGTTTGGTTGATGCGGTGATTGTTGGCGAAGGCTCAATTGTGACTCTTGACTTCAGGTGCGACAGGGTGTGGGTTTGGGTGAACAACAAAACTGGTAGGGTTACTAGGACTCCTACCATTGGTTAATGCTTACTCCTCAGCTTCAAACAAACAATCATGTAGCAAATTTTTACAAATGCCCTCGTCCTGTTCTCATACGGCATGAATTTATCAATAAGTCGTTTGTATTTCTTTTTTGTTTTTGTTTTTAATGTTAACATGTAATGTGCTCTAAATATTGTATTTGTTGTAATAAAAATATTTACCTGCACCTAAGTCTATGTAATTATTTCATTTGTTTAATATATTATATATTTTCAATTTCCATAAAAATCTACAAAATTTATGAGGTGGGGGGAGATGACTTGATTATGTGCTAAAAATGCTTTTCATCAAGAACGGACTGAATTTTAAATTTTCATTTAGTATGAAATATATGAAGGGAAAAAGTAATTAACTTTTTAGGCTACGAGAACCGGTTACAAGACTTATATTAGCATGGTGATGATGTGGTTAATTAGCATGGAGTACGTATTTTCTCATTTTATCCATTTATATTATCAAATACAATAGTATTATTGCGTGCTTTCTATAATGTTATATTGGGATCTATAATCCTAATACAATGGATGGTTTCTTTTTCGAAAAAGAAAAATAATGTTATATTAGGATTTATATATATAAAAATTAAAATCGAAATTGACGCTGAAGTTTATAGATTTGAGAAGTGTCCTGGAATAATTAATTATGCAATGATTCCATAAAAATGAATTATGACTGATCATCTTAATTACAGAGATACAATATATTTATAGTTTACGAAGAAATATTTTGCTGCCACTTACCAATATTTACATACTCGTGAGTCGTGACAAAAACAATATTTATAAACATATATGATTTTCATCTCTCTTTGACAATATATATCTCCAATTCTGGTTTAAGTTCGAAGGTGGATATGATATCAATAAAAATATGTGAAATAATGAACTTTGTTAATAGTATTGTTTTTAGATAACGATATTAATGATAAAAACTACGTAAAATTACAATTTAAAGTTTAGAGACATACCATTGAAATTTTCTTAAATAGAGACTAAAGAAAGACAATCCTAAAAATTTATAGGACCTAAATTGATATACTTTTCTTCTTCTTATTATTTTTGGTGAAATTTTGCTTCTTCGTTGAATACTTTTTTCGTGTTATAAATAATTATCTTAACATATATAAAGACTTGGAAAAGATTATCGTGGTTCAAAACTTAATGTTATTAATATTTATGGATTTCATTTCAAAACTAATTAACAATGGAAGGAGTAGCCCTCAAGATCAGGACTATTTTAGCTTTGACTCAGATCGGATCCCATTTTTGGACCGGATGCTCATTTTAGCATTTTAGACTTTAATATCATATTAACATTTATGAGATTTCATATAAAAAATAATTGGCAATGAGAGGAGTAATTCAGGTCTATTTTAAACTTTTATAAAATCTCTTCTTTCAACGTTGAGATTGAGAAGTTTATTCCAGAAACATCAACAATATGTACTAAAAAAAGGAAAACATCAACAATATCGGCCCATATATGGAGGTGGAATTCTTTGCAAGTTATTGAATAAAGAAAATTCTATTAAACTATTTTGACAAAAAACCATTTTATGTTTGACTTTTAATTCATTCCATACAATTATAAAATTCTGCATAAAAGAAACTCATCTCTCTTCCATTTTTCAAATATCGGTGTACAAATTGTGTACTTCCTTATTCATTTCTTCTCATTTTCATATTGGGAAGAATTATGAAACCGGATCCGTACACACATATATGCATGTGATGGGAGGAAAGGGGAATACTGTTCAACAATTATGAACAGGTCAAGAGTACGACTAAAATCCCACGTTGATAGAAATCAAAGAGATACACAAGTTTAAAATTAAAAATTGATTGCAGCACAAGTAATTTAAGGTAAAATTATAATTCAACAAAGATTTTTTGTCAGTACAATGTGTGGGGAGTGAGGGGAGTGAGTATTTGAACTCACCGACTTTTTTGGTCGGAGATTGATACCTTAATCAATTTAACTATGCTCAGGCTATTGGCAATCATAAACTTAAATCAAAACTAAAAGTGACAATAACCGTCATAGATGGCTCATTGGTCCAAAAGGGTTGAATGGGTTCAAACTGTATGATGGCTACCCTACCTTAGAAATTAGTAATTTCTATGTGTTTCTCGAAGGTCCGGGTAATCCCGGACACTCACGGATATAAAAAAAAACTAAAAAAGAAATAGAATTGAAGCAAAATGATGTAAACTCAGCATCAAGAGACTTTTCACATTGGTTAATCCCCCTCTACTCTCTGTTACGTGCAATGAAAGGCAAATAAAAGAAGCACAACAAATCAAACCCCGACTCCTATATAAACCCACTCACCCCAAACAAAAATAATCACAAGAGCGAGCTTCACAAGCAGAGGAAGAAAGCAAAAGAGAAATCAATCACAGCCAAGGATGTCGACTACTTGCATAGGTACACAATTATAAAATGATTCATAATTTTTAGATTTAATGTGACAAATTTAACATGTGATGGATATATGAGATGAATATATAGTAATCAAAAAATGAATTAATGTTGTTTATAGGAAAGAGTTCGTGGCCAGAATTGGTGGGTATATCAGGAAATGAAGCAGAGAGGATTATTGAGAAGGAGAATGCTTTGGTTGATGCTATAATTGTTGCAGAAGGCTCCAATGTGACTACTGACTTCAGGTGCGACAGGGTCTGGGTCTGGGTGAGCAAGACCACAGGCACTGTCACTAGGACTCCTTTCATTGGTTAATTACCCCTCCTACAAACAATAATAATCATGCCATACATTTGTTGTTCTTTTTCTTTTTTTATATACAAACACATTATTCATGTTGTCCATCCATCCTACGACACATGAATTTATGAATAAGGATGTTTGTATCGTGTGTTGTCTACTTGTCTCTTTGTTGTTATGGCATGTACCATGTAATTTCATTTCCTTCAATAATATATCCATTTCTCTAGTTTCCTATCTATATTTTGTTTAAGGATTCCTATATTAAAATATTTAATAATATCTAACAAGGGTTATAATGTATATTTTGGAATATTAATATGGTATCATAGTTCAAAAGTTCAAACGAACATCAACATCCAATTAAAAAAAATGAAATCTAGTCAAGATTAGTAAGTCCAAAAGAATCCGACGGTACTCTCTAGTTCACACAACAGAAAGTAGTAGTTCATCCTTGCTCCATGAGAAGCCTAACTGGCATTTGCCCCTACGCAAGGTAATTACTTAATTATGTCTCTTTGGATCCATTAATTACATTTTAAGTGATCATTTTAAAGTTTGGTTGATTCTACTGCATCCAAAAATAATTCTACAAAAATTTAAATTACCATAAAGATGATTCTAAACTAATTATAATTTAATCACTTTTGGAGAATTCAACTCTCTAAATTGTTTTTGGAAAAAAGAATGATTTTAAATATTCAATCCCTAGTTATTTTAAAAATGATTTTTATTGGTGGCTAAGCACTCTACATTTTTAAAAGAACGCTTTTGGCGCCCCTCCAAAAAATCACTTACAAATCATGCCAACTATACTCTTAACCTTATACCATTAGAAGTATGATATAGCTATCAATCTAAGCATAATTTAATTTAATTTGTTAAGATATTAGCGATTTTTTTTATAAATTGAACCTTTCAATTTTCACCTAAGGTTTATAATGTTATATATACTTTTTAAAAGAAACAGTTTACAGGGCGCAAAAATGCACCTTTTGAAATAATTAGAGCCTATAATTGATTAAAAAAACCGGTTAAACTTCAATCACTTTAAAAAGAAATAATGAAGTAAATATGACATTAAATAGATTATATATATATAATGCACAATTCTACCGTGACAAGATAAAAGTTTAAAACTTATTTTAATATCTAATTTTCACATTTGTTGTTTTTTTTTATTCTTATACTTTCAAGTGCTCTCTCTTGATTTTCAAATTTTCATTAATACATATTTTTTCTGCTGCCTATAAATTTTCCTATTCTATTTCATAGAAATTTTTTTTAGACATAAATTATATTCAAAAATTGATATTACAAACACAATAAATGTAATTTAAAATAAAATTAGGCATGTCACACAAGATTTTTTTCAGTGTGTAAAGTTGAAAAAAACAAAGCACAATATTTTTTTTAAACTAAGAAATTGCGCGATTATCTTTTATTGACCATCATTAAATTTTTGACGAGTAGGAGAGAGAATTATAAAATAAAAAAAATAACAAATACAATTTTTCTTTTTGAAAAAATTAAAATGCTGTCAAATTTTTGTTAATGGTCAAATAAAAAAAATGTTAAGCGGGAAGCACTAACTATGTTTTATATATATACATATTTTAGTACAACATGTGGGGGTGGGAGATCAAATTCATAATTTCTAAGCTATGCTTGTTTTTAACGACTATGGTTTATATTTAAATATATATATATGAGAAGTAAAAAAGAAATAGGTATTATTATGTGTTTGTGATACAAAGTCTTGGTCCAACCTAAAAATTCGTAATGTGACTTTTAATAAAGTGAGAAAAATTAATTAAGATCTGTATAGACTAACGAACCAATAGAGAGTTTTGAAGTCGAACATGTATGAAAGGCAGGAGGTTGAAGAGAAGCTGGATCGATATGGGATCAGTTCATTTTTCAATATTATCTTACGTGCAAAAAAGAAACAACAAAAAAGTCAAATTAAAGCAGCCCCACAAAAGTCAAACTCACAGTCCTATAAAAACCCACTTCCCTGTTACAAAAACGAGCACAGAGCACAGATCTGGAGAAGAGAGAAAACAAAGACACAAATCGAAAAACATGTCTCAGCAATGCAAAGGTAAAAAGAGCATAAATATCAATGACGTAGTTGGTTTCGAAGAGGAGTCGATTCAAATATATTACAAACGTTTGTTAGATCGTTTATCTTTTTAATGCGAGATTTTTAATATTGTCCATTTTTTTTAAGGCAAGAGTTCATGGCTGGAGCCAGTCGGTCGACAGGGAAAGGATGCTGAGAAAATTATCGAGAAGGAGAATCCTCTGGTGAATGCTGTAATTGTTGATGAAGGTTCATCTGTACTTTTAGACTTTAGGTGTGATTGGGTTTGGGTTTGGGTTGATAAAAAGACGGGCATCGTTACAAGAACTCCTTTCATTGGTTAAATCTTAAAAAACTATGTGTTGAAATTAATGTTCCTGTTCTTCCATTTATATATCTCCTTGTTGTAATGTAACATCAAGTACTTATGAATAAGATGTTGTTTATGTAATGGGTTTCTTGTAATAAATTTAATTTGGTATTTTATGTAATACTTCCTTATGTCCATTTCTTTATTTCCTTCCTTTATTTGTTTATTATAAATTTACGTGAGAATGACTTAAATATATTTTTTAATTTTTATTATTGTCGCGGCATAAAGGGCTTGTCGAGTCTTCCTTGGGAGGGTAATAGAAATACACTATAACAAGTTTATCTTTTCTTTTTCTAGTAAAACAATATAATATAAAAACAAAAAGGTGATTTGCACGAATTTAAATTTAAACACTTCCATTAGAAACTTATGGGTCAATTAATAAAATTTAAAAAGCATGGTCTCTTCTCTTTATTAATTTTCATTTGTAAAATTAAGTAGAGTAAGGTTGGTTAAAGATCTCATATTGATAAAACAAGAGATCTAACAAGTGTTTATAATATAAGTGGATTACTCCTCTCATTGTAAATTAGTTTTGATGTGTAATCTCATAAATATTGATATGGTATCAGAGTCCAAAACGTTCAAACGAGCACCCAATCCAGCCAATTAATTTTAAGATAAAACTCATGAATATTGATAAGGTTTGATATTATAAAAATAACAAAATTTATTATACAAATAACTACAATTTATTAATATTTACAACGTACTAATAAAACATATCAATTTGAGTATAATTCATAATGGTTAAGACATTGATGTATTCTATAGTATTCGATAACACATAAAGATTAAGCACGCAACCTACATTTTGAATATGTAGTCTAAGAAAAAAAAGGTAAACTATAAAACTAATTAACTACTATATATTATCAACCTATTGAACTATAATTATGGTAAAATAAGGAGAGATAGTGTAATAAAAAAAAAAAGAAAATAATTAACCAATAATGGGAATTCTAGTAACAAAGCCATTTTTATTGACCCAAATCCAAACCCTATCACACCTATAATCTGTGGTCACGAAATTTCCTTCTTGAACAATCTTAGCATTTGTCCATGGCTGCTCTCTCTCAATCCTCTCCTCCGCCACCTTCCCCAGTTTTCCGACCAGCTCCGGCCACGAAGTTTTACCTTATAATTATTTCCAAAAGATACAAAAAAAAAAAACCATATATATATATATATATATATATATATCAGCAAAAATTAATGTTGAAAAAAACCAAACAACAATCTTAAAAGAATAATATGGCTTCAGTAATTACCTTCACACAAAGACATGTCCTTAAATTATATGATTATGATCTCTGTCCTGCAGGAAGAGCCTTTCTGGTGGAGATTTTCCTTGGTGTTCTTTTGAAGCTGAAGTTGTGAATTAATGTAGAGTAGAGCAAGATATATAATTAATGGGATGATTTTTTATATTTATGTTTTGTTGTTTTTGGAGTGTCGTGTCGTGTGTCTTTGGTTTTCTTCTCTTGTTGTGTTGTGTTGGAACTTGACTTTATAGCTTGTTTTGCCTCAGCTAATTCTTTTAAAATATAATCAACCATTTTAATTAACTACACTTATATTTTTAAATTATCAATACAGACAAAAAAAAATCCAACCTAACCCTATCCCTTTTAGTTCTATATTGATAACTTTTGCTTATATAGTCGAGTTATCTTAGTTGGCATTATCATCTCTTCGTTCAAAGTTTATCAAACGTCCTTGCTACTACTAAGTAAGTAATAGATTGATAAAAATTTAATGTGTGATAATTGTTATTTCAATCTAAGATCACAACGCTTTTTTCTAATTTTTAGCACATATTTTTAGTCTATGAATGAGATACGTACACTAATACCTTACCTTAATATACAGCAAAAAAAGGGAAAATGAAAAACTTTCTTATACAGCATGGAACAAACTCATCAAATTGGTACAACCGCATAATATAATAATGCATATCCTCTAATTTACAATAAGAGAAAAATTCAAAATTCAACTTTCCTAAAATCTAAATAAATCTTTTCCCCCAAACACAAAGCTTTGACCTAAAAAATATGTAATATAATTTATCCTTCAAGAAAATGAATGAATCTTGAAAGCAACTGAGGTACCGAAATATTATATACATATGATAATTAACTCATTAAACAAAGCTTGACAATAATAATAATAATACCCTAGTATTTAGTTCCAAATTATATTGTTGAAATCGTTTATTAGTTTATTTATGTACAAATAAAAGAAGAATACGACTATGTAGTATGTAGTCATTTATTAATTGAGTTTGTCAATGCATGAGATGCGTGATCACTTAATCTAAATTATATTAATTATTATGAAATTTCAAAAGTCATCCACCTATAGTTTTTTAATTATGTCATTAATAAAATAATAACATTGATAGTTATGTGGCAAAATATGAACGGAAGTAGTATGGAATCAATTTAAACCTATTATGAGTATTTAAGTAATGTTTTTGCAACGCTGTTAGTAAATTTAATCTTTCCAATATTATGTGTGCTCATGTTATAGAAGTAATCTACTCAAGTAGGCCTTCCTGAAGTAGTTTCTAAATCATTTTTATTCAAAAAAGAAAAAAGAAAAAAGAAGTTCTTAATCGTTTGAAAACGTTTTCTATTTTGGTGTTCTTTTTTACAATGTCTTTGAATGGAGCTTCACTTTTTTGGCATTTGGTTTGGGTTTTAGTGGCTGATTGAGGGATTTTTGTTTGTTTATGCAGGAACCTGGAAAATGGATCATGAGACGTAAATGAAGAAACCACTTGGAGATCAAGATGCAGAGTAGGGCAGTTTCTAAGCACACATAAATTAGGGATTCAAACATAACTGACCCTAGTTTTGGAAAATATTTACCAAAATATCAAAATAGACTTCTTAAACAGTAACAGCAAACCCTAAAGTAATAATCTACAAGCAAATTTACAGCATAGCATTTTTCTTTTTCCTCTGTTCCATTTGGGCTAAGGTTTCAACTCACTCTTGCAAGGCAGGCAAAATAACCAAACAAATCAAGCCTAAAACAACAGGAACAGAGAGAAGGGAAAATAAGCAGAAAGCATATGCTTAGCAAAAGAGAGATGAACAAAAATGAAGTTGTCCTCTACTCTACCAGTGATGACACGTCACATCATGATTCACACCTTGGAAAAGAACACCAAAAATGGGAGCGAGAACAGAAGCTTTAAAAATTGAGTAGAACTTTTAACTGCATTCTTTGGTACACAGAATTTTCTCCGTTTAACTCTAAGCTAATAAGAATTGCCACAAAAGCAATCATCCTCCAATTTATCCTAAATAAGGATCTCAATGCAATATTTTCGGCCATTCAAAACCTCTCTGCTCTCTCTTATGTTGTTCGGTTTCTTTTACATTCTTTCTGAGTGGGGGTTTTTTTGTTATTTCCTGTGATTAGCCTAATGTCTGGTGACACAATTGTCTTCAGTTCTTTACCACTAATAGGGTCGATACCTTCTACCACGGCTGACTTCATCACCACTGCTACTACCTCCTGAACGACCTGTTGCTCCCCCACCTGAGCCATTGCTCCTCTCACTTCTTCGAGATCGAGGAGGTGGCATCGATACTCCGGGTTGCTGACTGCATCCACATGTGAATATATATAAATTACTATCTTATATGCAAACAAATTTCAAGTCTAGTAAGAGTGAAATCTTACAGA